GCTTTCTATTGTACAAAATTATATGTTTAAATTATATTGAATATTGTAACTTATACTCCAAAAGCAGTTTATGTATGTTGTAAAACTGTAGTATGAAAGGATAATACCTAGATAGTGACAGCTTACTCTTTACTTTCTCTGTTAAACCTGAGACACAATTCAAACAATGTAGAAAGATTAAGTAAAATCTTTTTTTCTCTGCCTAGAAAATTATAACCCACAGACTATTATCAAATGAGTATTATTATTATCTTAGTATTATAACATTGTATTTCTCTCACCTGTCTTTAAAGAGGGGTACTGTTTGATAAAATTACTGTCATATAGCCATATCTCTAGCCTACTTTTCTTTTCTCTAGCTGCCTACTGGATACCTTTGTGTGAATATCTCCCTAGTTACCCAAGCACTGGCCAAGGCTTAACTCTTTATCTTTTTTCCCATACTGCAATTTGTAACTTTTCTTTCTATTTCCTGATATCAGTATCTTCCAAATAACTTTCAAGGTTCAACTCAGATTTTTATTTATTTATTTTTCTCTACGTTACCAGTTAGTTGCACTGTCTTAGCAAGTTTTCATCAAAGAAATATCTCAGTTTTATTTTTTTCCCTTTAATTTTCTACTACCTTCGTTTGGGTCTTCCAAATAACTAGCCTGAGCTTTGGCAGTAATCTACACAATGATCTCCCATCTCCCTTCTTTTCCTTTTCTTCCACTTGTGGCTACCAAAGTAGGCTTCCTAATACTTAAGATGTTACCATTACTCTCTTTTGGAGGGAAAAAAAATATGTATATATATATTTTTTTCACAAAATTCCTTGGCCTTCTAATTCCAGCCTCTGCTTTCGTGATTCCTTTTCACCAACTCTGCCCTTTTGTCTAACACTTCTTAAACTTTCCTGTTGATGAAATCACTTGTGGTGCTTTTTTAAAAATGATGTTCTTAGGCCCTATTTCAAACCCACTGAATCAGAAATTCTAAGTAAGGGGCCCAGGAAGCTGTATGTTTAATGAATTCTCCTGGGAAATATAAGAAGTGCTGCAATAACAAATCTGCATGGTTTGCTGTTCTGTGTATGTGCTTTGTCTTTTCCTTTTTATGTGCCTTTATGTTTATGAAATGTCCCATCCCACCTGTTGATGTGAAAGTCATATTTATTTTCAATATCCAAAAAATCATCTTTTCCAGTTTTTTTAACATTTCTTTTTTCTAACTTAACTTTTGCCTTTACATTTTCCTTTTTAAAACATCTTTTTTGTTTTATTATACAAGAATATGACTATATTTTCATTATATTTCAATGATATACTCTGTACTCTCTGCCTTACTAATTGTATAGCATCCTGGGCTGCAAGCTCCTTGAAAATAGATTTTGTGTTATCTTTGAGTGACTGTGTAAGCATAGAAATAGCTTGGATTTGGAATCATACAAACTCATACTGAAACTTTGCTTTCTACTGACACTTTATGACGTTTGGGTAATTTAGTCTTTCTGACCCTCAGTTTTCCTTTTTGTAGCATAGAAATAATATGTATGAGTTAGGGTTGTGAGATAAGCATATAGATAGCCTTATATGGTATATGATGTAATCTTGAAAAATGTCTTTGAAAGTCAAGTGTCTTAAAATAAAACAATATTCCATATAGTTGATATTTTCTTCTCAGAAGGGTAAAAAAACACCAAACTATCTGCAGTATGATCATATTTATTATGTAGAATCTGCTGTCCGTAAGCCCAAGCAATCTGGAAGGTAGGTCAGTAAATCTCTCCAACAGCTCAGCTTTGGAGGTAGGAGGCCAGATGCTTGGCACAAGTAGCCTAGTGTCCTTCTTGAGGATCTTGGATAACAGCTTGAGCCGCCTCAGAGAGCATGGGTGTACCCTTGTACATTGTGACCCACTGATAGCCCATTCTGTACATGCTAGTGGGTCTTGGCATATTGCAAAATCTCTGGCCTAGAAAATTAGCTGTTTTGTCTATTTTATGTAATGGACAAATCAGTGATTTACTTTGAGAAAAATAGAACAGCAAAAAATTGTTGAAATTTACTGGCTTAGAAGAAAGAAAATTGCTCTAGTGTGCATGAAATAAATTTGAAAAGAAGCCAAAAGTATTTTTGTTTATTTTGCTTATGTACAGTTCTTCAGACTGAGCATACCTCAAATACATTTTACATTTTTGGTAAAGTGAAACCTTAGTAAGAAAAGGGAAGGTTAGACTGAATATTGGAAAAGTATGACCATTATAATGTTAAAAATTAAGCCTTATTATTTTAAATGTATGAAATAACTGAAACCAAAGTCAAGTATATATCTTTTGATGACTAGAAACAATTTGGAATTTCAGTGGTTGCATGAAATTAAATATTTCTAAAGGGCTAAAAATTATTGTTTCCTTTTTGATTTGCTTATCAAGTTTCTTTTTTCAGTGACTCCACCATGTAAAGCTTTATTCCAGAACTTGTCTGACTGATCACAAGTTAATAAGTGGTAAAGTTTGAATAGAGACTTAACTTTATGTGAGGGGAGAAATAAGATAGAGTCCCTTCTGGTTTATGGATTATCAGTGTGGGATTACAGAGCCACCTTCACCCCTCTTATTTATTCATGACATAGTGTCTCTCCCACATGGTTACTTTTCCTTCATTATTTATTTCAGTATCTTTCTACTACCTGATAAAATCGCCTTAGAATCATAGAATTTTATAGCTTAAAGGGCTCTAGTCCAACTTCCTTTCTTTATAGATGAGGAAACTGAGAATCTAGTTAAATGACTTGCCAGACTGACTTCATTTCCTTTTTGATAGGATTGCATGATACAGGGATGTCATAATAATCACATCTTGGGTTCAGAAAAGTGTATGGTCAGGTTCTCATGATATTCTTGTGGGAAACATGAAGAAATGTGTTCTGGGATTAAATTTATAGCCAGTTGAATAGTTTTGCCCAACAGAGGCTTTTTTGTCAACCTGTGCCTGATTTTTTTAAATTCTTTTTTTTTTAAATAGTGAGTTGAAATGTAATAAGAGCACATGTAAATTCTGCACTTTAATTCAATGAAATCAGCTTAGTATATAAATAGATTTAATTAATCTTAGTTGAATCATTACAAATAAGTGTTCTAGAATAAGAAATTTAACATTCTCTACATTATTTAGATCTCATTTGCATCATTTTTCTCAGTTCTGAATGAACTTAACAAAGTTATTAACAAAAGATACATCCAGAGAAAGGGAGGATGGTAAGGAGGACAGGGCTGATGACAAAAACCACCTCTTAAAGGGAATGCTTGAGGAATGTGTATACACTGGTGAAGTAAAAACCAAATGAAAGAGTGATTTTAGACTATAAATATGTAAAGGATTTTTGTCTGAAAGATCCTTTCATGTTGCTTTCTTAAATAATAATCTCATTCAAATGTCTGTGTTGGTTGACATTCACTTACCAATCCCTACATATAACTTAGATACAAATGGTAGAAAATGTTTTCCAAGTGAAAGCTTACAAATAAATAGTTTTCATGAGGCAAGTTAAATGAGAAGTCTGTTAAAAAGTGTCTCATTAGCAAGATTTTAATGTAGGCATCAAATTGGTACAGTAGTTCTCTCACTACAGGTGAACATTTTTACTTAAAACTCAAAATTGTAGAAGGGGTTTTTTCTCGCCTGGGGAAGTTATACTGGTAGATAAAGCCACCACTTTTGAGAATGAATAAGAATGTTTTGTCCTATTCTAGTTTATCATATGAAATTAAGCTTTCCCCAAAAGTTGGAAGGTTGTGGTGGACATGGTTTGGGGAGTTTCTGCCAGGCCACTGGCCCAGAAATTGTCAGAAGTGTTGTTAAGCAGTCTAACTTATAAAATATTTCTGCTGCATCAAATTGCTCATATTTTTAATTTACTAATCTTTGTAGTTGTTTCTATTTAACAATTAAAAAAGACATTAGCACGTTTGATTAGTTTTGTATAACTGTTAAAATACTGCCATTAATTTGGTAGATTTAAGTAAAACAAATTTAGTATCTTGTAGTTCTGGAGGTCAGCAATCTGAAATAGATTTCACTGGGCTAAATATCAAGGTATTAAAGGCGGCTTTCTTTCAAGAGGCTCTTGGGAGAATCTATTCTCTTCCCTTTTCCAACTTCTAGAGACTGCCTGTGTTCCTTGACAGGACCCATTCCTCCATCATCTAAGCTAGCAGTGACTGGTCAAGTCTTTTATTGTCATCCTGAAACTGACTTTTTTGCCTTTCTTTTTACTTATAAGGACCCTTGTGAATACATTGGACCTACCTTGAAAATCCAGGATCATCTCTCGATCTCAAATTTCTTGATGTATCTACAAAGTCCCTTTTTTGCATATAATATAACGTATTCACAGATTCTGGGGATTAGGACATTAACATCTTTGAAGGCTATTATTCTGCCTTCCAATCTATATTGAAACTAAACTCTATATAGTATGTCTAATAATAGGACTTGTTTATAATTCTTTTGTATTCTAGAAAGTAGAACTAGTGTTGATTGTATGGTTGGAAATTACACATAGATTTTTTTCTCCAATTAAAGAATTTTCCAGTAATGTAAGTCATTTTAGGGAGAAGGGGTAAGAGGAGGGGAGAGAATGAATAAGCTCTTTTGAGGTGTAAGACATGGGTTGACTAGTTAGCAGTGATGTCAAGGAGATCTCTTGTAAGTTCTAGTATATGTCATAAAAAATTAGTTTCTATACTTGTATGTAAATCATGATGGGATTTAGTGCTTAGAGTTGATAATGAATAGACTTAATTTTAATGATGTATCACTTTTTGAAAGAAAAGATGTTTCTAAATTAGTAATTTAGTCAAAGAAAGATAGGGTTCTTTTTTCTAAAACTTTAGTTTATACTGAACTTTTCAGGAGCACATCTTTTGCTAACCACATTATGTCAGTACTAGATTTTATGTAAATTTATTATTTTGTCCTTCTGGACTCATGATTGTGTTATTCATTCCTTTCCAGAGCATGAAAGGAAAAAGCAAAAGCAGCCATGATCTACTTAAGGATGACCCACATCTGAGTTCTGTTCCAGCTGTCGAAAGGTTAGTCTGCAGTGATGTGATCCTAAATTCTTACTTTTAGTTTGAAGTCATTTTATTGCTTCTTTTGTTAGCAAATAGTTTTCAGATCTCATAGGTCCAAGTTTTAAAACTCAGCCAAAAATTAATGCATTTTAATGATGGAAGCAGAGAACTTATAGCAAGACAGAGAAGAACTATAGGCACTTTCATTCTTCTTCCTGTCTACCTCTGTTGAACTAATTACCTTTGAAATTAATTGTTGCGCTGAGATTGTAGCTCATTACTAGAGCCCTTGTTTGGCATGCGGGAGACCCTAGCTTTATTTCTCAGAACTGGGGAAAAAAATTGTCAAACTTTTCAATTATAGTATACTCTGAATTTCAGAAACTCCTTTAGCAGTTTATGTTAAATCCAAGTTGCATTGCTAACATTTTCCTTGAAGCATTTTTGTCTCAGTTGGTGTCATGGGGAAGCAACATGAGAATTGAAGGTTATTTTTTTTTTTTTTTTGGTACCGGGGATCGAACTTGGGACCTTGTGCTTGCGAGGCAGGCACCGGAACCACTGAGCTAAATCCCCAGCCCTAGAATTGAAGGTTATTGTTAAGAAGTTATCACATTTTGGGCTAATCTGCTGAGAGTAAATTCCCACATGCTTTGAGAGATTAATAAAAATTGTCATTATTTTTATTACCTCCCTTTGAGAACGGAAATGTCTTAGTATTTAATATAATTGCACATAATATATTGAGCCAGTGTCTCAAAGGGGAACTAAAATAAGTTTACCTGATTTTCAAAACTTTTACTTTAAAACAATTTTTTCTTGGGCTGGGAATTCAGCTCAGTGGCACCATGCCTGCCTTGCAAGGTCCTGAGTTCGATACCCAGTACCTAAACAAAACAAAACAAAACAATTTTTTCTTAATATCTTTAATATCTTTTTATTTGAAGATTTCTATTTCTTTACTGAAAATACTTTAAGCCAATTTAAGAAGTTATTTTCTACAAACATTTATTCATATAAAATGGCCTTGTTGGTGGTTGTTAACTTTAAAAGAAAAAATCCAGTAAATTGATATATTTGCTAATGGAGCATACCTCTTATTCTGTTTATTAAAAAATCACTTCATCTATTATAGAATGCTATATTGAGATTCCTATGTTGAAATAAATTTTTGAAACATTAATCCCAGCAAACTTCTAAGTTTTTGGATTATTAAATAATTTTATTAGTTTCACTTTGAAGCTAAAATTTATTTGTCTTATTTTTTGTAGTGAAAAAGGTGATGCAACAGAAGATTTAGATGATGTGAGTATTGATTTTAGTATAAATATAGCTTGACCAATTTATAGAAAGTTCAAATTTTTATAAAAAACAAATTACTTTTTCTTTAAAAAGCAGGGCTGGGAATGTAGTTCAGTGGCAGAGCACTTGCAGAGCATGTTTGAGGCCCTGGGTTAGATTCCCAGCACTAAAAATAATAATGATAATGTATTACCTTATAATTGACATGTAAAACTGAAAAATAAAAACGTTTTCTTTTGAATGTTTCCTTCCAAGTATGTTTATATTTCCCTACAAAATTAGGATCTTATATGTGAAATTTTAACCTGCTTTTTCCTTCTCAATAACATTAAATATTCTCCTTCAAGACTATTATGATCTTTACTAGTTGTGCTGACTAACAAAACCAATAAGTAGATGGAAAATTTTCTTTTAATATGTAAGAAAAATTTTCAAATTATCCGTAGGCCACTTTTTGTAAAAACCCACTGATCTGTATATTGTATAATTCAATAGGAAGCATGTAACTTTCCATGTGAACACAAATTTATCTCTTACCACAGTCAAAAGAAAGGGTTCCTGAACTATCTGTATTAGAAAGATAATGAATGTGACTTTGGTCAAGAAAACTTTCATGTCTTACAGGAGAATTAGAAGTTAAGTGGGTCACAAAGCAAATGGTGATGGGTGGGGTCCTTCCATCTCAGAGAACTGAATATGAAAAGTAAAGAAGAGCAAAATGAAAGATAATGTAAAACAGGAAGATATGTAGGGTTTTTTTGTTTTTGTTTGGTTTTTTTTTGCAAATGGTAAGAGGTTCAAGAGATGAAGGGAGGAGAGGGGAAGAGAACATAAAAAGAATTAAGATGTATTATGTACATGTACCATCTTTTGAATGTAATCATTACACAAGGTAATTAAACCCATACTAATAAAAATAAAAGATTAGACCTTACTTAAGAAATACGGGCTGAGATTTAAGGTTTGAAGGAGGCTGCTATGTGAAAAGTTGTGTGGTTGGAGGTAAATAAAACTGCATGTGCTGAAGTCTCTGAAGCGGAGCTGAAAGCAGGCTAGTGTGACCAGAGTGTCGTGAAGGAGGGAGAGTGAGATGAGCTAGGAGAGGTTAGGGTACAGACGGATATTACAGACCTTTATAGGCCATGGTGAGGAGTTTGAATTTCACACTAAAAGTAATAAGGAACAGTTGAAGGATATTTATTAAAAAGAAGGGTGCTATTGTCAACTTTGCAATTTAGGAAGATCATCATTGGCAGTTATTTCAGAGGACAAATTAGAAGAAATAGACTGGAGTTGAGGGGAGCTAGTGGGAAGCTTTTTCAGGCAAGGTTTTGATGTAAGATCAAAGCTGTGAAATGGGAAAGAGATCTAGGAAGTGACCATATTGTGACATGATGGACAAGGTTTCTGATTTGGGGGATTTGTTAAAAGGGTACAAAAGAAAGTAGGCTTGAGGTGGGGAAGGCAATAAAAAAAACCAGGGTTACATTTTGTACATTCTGACATCAAGATAAATTGGAGAAATCTATATAACAGTAATATGGAGATAGGATCTAGAAGATAGAATCAAGGTGTAGGATAGAATGAGAAAGATTTGCTCGTAAGGTCTTGGATACAATGAGATCATCTAATGTAGTGTCTAGTCTCACCTTTGTTTTATGTTCCAAATGCTGGGCAAGAACCCAGTGTTATTTCAGAGGTTTTGGGTTCTTACCTAGGAAGATGTACTACATCCACAAACAAAATTATATGACTTAGGTTGGGGGTGTAGCTCTGTAGTAGAGTGCTTGCCTAGCATGTGTGAGGCCCTGGCTTCAATCTCCAGCACCAGCCCCCTCCCAAATATATAATTATATGATTTTTCAGAGGATTTGTTTCAGATCTCCTGAGGCCCAAGCATGGCAGGCCTATGTCAGTGGTTATCAGCTTTCAGGGCCAAAGAATTTCTGATGCATCTCGTTGAAAACATTCATGATTTCTATCCCAAGAGATTTTGGTTCATTAAATCTGCAATAAGGGCTGGGATTTTTAACAAATAATTATGTGAGTAGTCTGAGAATTAGACTTTGAAGACCACTGATTTAGGGGCTCATAAACCTAAAGTTAAGAATCTTACTTTACCATAACTAATCAGATCAAAATATCGCAAGAGAACAGTGATCCCTTAGTATCATTCCTTTCCTTTTTTCTCTTCCCTCTCTATCACCTTCACTCCTCTGTCTATAATACTGGCAGCTACTCTAAAATTTGAAGATACGAAATAAGTAAAACCTGCCAGAATTTTAGCCTTGATAGAGTGTTTCCCTTAATTGCATAGGAAAAGTAAACACATAAATAATAAGTGCTTTGGAAAATAAGCCAGAAAAGGGGAATAGAAAATACTGGAGATGGAGGGTGGTTCTACCATTTTAACAGGGTGATCAAGAAAAGCATCATGGAGAGGGTAGCATTTGAGCAAAAAGCTGAGGAAGAGGAAAGCATACAATGTACATGTCTATGATAAGAGTGTTTCAAACTAGAGAGAATAACTCCCAAGTTGATCAGTGTTGCTGGGTTGAGTTATAGGAGATTGTTTCAGGGAAAGAGTAGAGGACCTCAAGTGAGCTGGAATCCATTGCAGGGTTTTCAGAAGAGGAATGATTGTTGTGACTTTTAGGAATAAATTGCAGCTTTTGCATACTTCTTTTACTGAAATTAACTGCTCATTGAGGTCACTGTGCTGGCCAACTGCCTCCATAACCACATTTCCCACTGGGATAAGAATAGGAATGTAAGTAGACACAATATCCTGGGTGATACAGAGGGAGCAGTCTGTGCTGCAGAGGAGTTGTGCATGAACCAAGCAAGCAGCTCTTCCTGGGGTATCCCATACTTATGCAGTTGGTCTAGAGCAGACCCCAGAGGTATTCCCACCTGGAGGAGATTCTTTAAGCCTTTGCTAGTCTGACACAAAACAAAAACCAAACCTGGCATAGCAAGCAATGAGGAAAGTCTGAGAAGGTTCTCTGGAAGTGCATAGGAAAATTAAATGCCTGGCAGCTACTGAGTTTCAATTTCTACAGGATGCAGAAGATGAAAATACAGAGCCTGACGAATATATTGATGGTGATGAACAGAACCCAGTGAGAGAAAGAATTGCAAAAAAATTAAAAAAGGACACAGGGGCAAATGTGAACTCAGCTGGAGAGGGAGAAGCAGAGAGGAAATCAGTCAGCCGCAGGTGAGTCAAATGAGTCAACACTTGTGCTTTTGGGTCTCAGAGTTTTTGTCTTTTTACACTTCAGCTAAGGTTGATTCCTCTGCTCAACTAATTTTTTAAAATAACCATTTTCATAATGTTTGATAAATATAAGACTTGTGGAAACCAGCCTGTTTGGGAGCCTAAAGGAAATTGACCAGGCGTAGAGTAAGTATGTACAGCAATGGTCCTAGGAGCCAGTTCCTCTTCAGGTCTCTCTGATCTGTTTTTTAGAAAGGTTCTCTAAATTTTTATATCTAGAGTAAGAATTATTTTAGCTGTTTGTGGAAAGTTGTGTTTGCTTAATTTCAGTGAAAACAGTGTGAGTGAAATTTGTCAAAATGAGTAAAGAAAGTGTAGACCCGAAAACATTTTTAAATGTCATTTCATGTCTGATTTACCAAATATATATTCTTCCTAATCTCAGTGGTATGGTGAAAGAAATTTCAGTAAATGATGAAAATTTCACAATCTGTTGGTAAAAGTTTGTTGGATTTTTTTGTCGCAACATTTTAATCTCTTGAAATTCAGCTCAAGGGAAAAACTCTCCTTTCCTTTGTGATTCTATTGTTACAACTTTGTAGTATACATTTTAAATAATGTTTATTTTAAAAAGTAAGTATTTGTTTTTCTTACATGGTCTACATTTGGAAGAAGTTAGATTTAACTAGCTATAAATAACATTTTTTCTATTACGTTTCTCAGCCTTGTCTAGAAAAACTTAAAAATTAAAAAGCATTTCTGTAGCATACATTTCTCAATTTTTTCCTCTATATAACAAGAAATAAAAGTGATTCCCAAAAATTTCCACTGAAGGTAGGACTTTTTGCATTCAGAAACCGTACTTAGAAGTTAGCATAATTTTTTTTTAGTAACATTCACCTGACATCCAAATAATCACTGCTGAATAAGTTAATATAGATTAACTTTGGGCTGCTATTGACTGAAGATGTTAACGATCATATACATGGAGTTAAAAGCCTCTCATTAGCTCTGTAACTTTTAGTTAATTCATGAATATCATCAAGGATGCAGTTTTTTCTCTCACTCAAAGGCATGTATTTTCTGATTTTTTAAGAATTATGAAGTTTTTAAAGATAGGTTTATAATACAACAATAGCCTTTAGATTTCTAGTAAATTAGTTACATACTTATTAATATTTAAGTTGACCTTAAGCCCTCAACTCTGCCTCCTTGGCTTTAATACAATTTCAAATACTTATGTACCCTATACCTAACTGTCATAATTAAGCAAAATTGAATTTTCTATAAAAATTAAATAAAGCTTATTTGTAATGTACGTTTCATAAGTGGCTTTAAAAAATTGGTTACCTAATATAAAAAAAATTAAACAGATTGCATTTTCCAAATGTGTTCATTCTGAAACAAACAATTATCTTTAAAAGATTCCCTTGTTTGTGGTAGCGACCCAAGGTACCAATTTGACATTCCTAGATGTAGGAATATGATGTTCGTCAGGAGAATAATGGAGAGCCATTGAAAAGATTTTATAAGTGGATGATGTATTGAGATTATATTTAAAAGGTGTGGAGAAAAGATTGAAGGAGGGGTGTCTTAGACTGCTAAAAATATTGATAAAATACCATAAGCTGAGTGGCTTCAACAACACACTTACTTTTTCACAGTTCTGAAAGCTGAAGTATAAAATAAGAATGCTAGCTAATTTGGTTCCTGGTGAGGGCCCTCTTTGTCACTTACAGATGGCTGCCTTCTTGTTGTGTCTTCACATCTTCACATGGTGGAGAGACCTCAGTGGTTTATCTTTCTTTCTCTTTTCATAAGGACACTGATCCCATTGTGAAGTCTAAACTTACCTCTCAAAGAAGCCATCTCCACATAGCATTACATTTAGACTTTCAACATACAAAGTTTTGGGGACACATACTTGAGGTCCATAACAAGAACCCTGGGAGATTGGAGGAGGTCAGTCAGTTAGGACTCTACTTTAGTAAATCCTTGTGAAAGATGGTAGTGACCTGAACCAGAGCACTAGTTATTTTAAAGGATACTTAGGTAATTTAGGTAAGCATATGAGCATTTTGGACATTATTCGATTTATCTTTTAGATAAAATAATTTGCAAAATGTCCTTACAAAATATGTAATACATTTATTTATAACTGTTCCTCTGTTCAGTAAAACTCTGTATATTCACATCTTCCTTTTTCCCTCCTTCCTTCTGTATCTTCTAGCTATAAATAGAAAGAAAAAAACATAAAGAAATCAGGACAGAGGGGAAAGTACAGACATTCAAAGTAAAAATGCAGTTTGTCTTTTCATTCTGAGAACATCTATGATTGTCTCGTGACCACATATTTTTTAGTTTGGAAAATTTCCAATATCATTAGTACTTTTTATTAATTGTACAGCTTCATTATAGTTTAAGTCTCTGGAGTTAATTATATGCTTAAACACACATATACACAAACACACACAACAAGAACTTCCCCCAAAACAAGAAACTTACAATAGTTTTTAAAAATTATAATGTGATAGAAAGGATAATTATATTTAAATGAACTTTAAATCTAAGTTTAAAATTTAAATTTAAGTTTAAACTTAAACTGTGTAGTTTAAGTTGAACTATAATGGGTATAATCAGAATGTCAGTGTGGAAACATTACTTAAAAATTAATGCTCTTGCTGTATACAAACTTTTCCCCTGGGTGTACTTCTAGTACTTACTCTATTATCCATTGGTCATTTTCTAATTTGAGCAGTAGGACCAGAGACTAGACTAGCCTACCAGTCCTTTAGGTAAGGAGCCCTTCAGAGTATAATTTTAATGAAAATTTGTGTTATTGCTTCGGTTGGTAAGGAAACATTTGGAATCAGTTATAGCTGCCTATTGCTTAGAATGTTGAACTACAAATAGGTTTATTGAATACTTAGTATTTAACCTGGGGAATGATATTTAACAATATAATCTTCCACAAATGTACATATGTGGGAATCTATCCCTAGTAACGTATTTTCAACAGGGTCTCAAGTTGTTCCTGTACCTTTGAAAAGTACTTAGAGGCTCAGGGGCAAAAAATCTAAAACTCTTTCTACTTTCTGTTAATATGGAATAGATACCCTTGGACCTATTCTGATTTCTCCAAGATTTCTTGTCCCTTGTTCCCCATCTCCTTTATTTTATTTTGATTTTTAATTTTTCTTAGTACACGTTTGCAGTACATGATTACATTCCTTGCAGGAAGTTGGTAGAGGTACATAACACACTTCTAATTCTTTTTTCATCTCCTTTCCTCCTCCCTCTCCATGCCCTCCACCTTTTGATCCTCTTCCCATTTGAGAAAGATCTATCTCCCTATTTAATAATATTATTTATCTTTTATTTTGCTCTTTATTTATATTTTGGGTTGCTCGTATAAGAGAAATCATGTCTTAATAATAATCAAAACATAGTCAAACATAATCAAAACTTACAATCAAAACTTATAGTACATATTTAAGCTTATGTGTCTAATTTATTTCACTTAACATCATGATCTGAAGGTGCATCAATTTTCCTAAAAATACCAATTCCACTCTTTCATATCCAGCACACTTCTCTATGCCTATATCTTCAGTACTGGATCACACAGCCAAGTACAAGTTGGTATTATTATGAATTTCTGGTTTCCAGCTTCAGTTGTGCCTTCAATACTAATGTATTACACCCTGCAAGGTTTACTTCAAACTTCCAACTCTCAACACACTACCCAGCCTCCTGTTTTATGAAATAAGAGGAAGTTTCTTCAACTTGTATTTCTTTCTCTTTTCCTCTTACCTTGTTAGACCAATTCATCAATCTCCCCACCAATTCAAAAACACTCTATTCTTTCTTTCCTTTTTTCTTCAGTTTTCTCCCTTCACTGAATCTTTGCCTCAGTTTGTGAATATGCTTAAGTTTCTCCCAGCAATGAAGAATGAAAACAAAGAAAACTACTCCCCTTTATTTCTTGTCTCCACCTCCTTTCTAACTATACACCATCCATCATTTTTACTCCATCTCTCCACTGAAACTATTCTAAGGCCATCTAATTGATAAACCTAATGAATACTTTCCAGTTTTTGTTTTTCTTGGTCCCTCTGCAGTGGAAGTTTTATCTTTCCCATCTTGAAACTCATCTCCCTCAAGAACCTTGTCATTTAAATTGTGATCCGTTGTCCAGGAGGATTAGCATTAAATGGGAACTTATAAATTCTGAGTGTCAGCCCCCCACTTTTTGGATCAGAATCTGCATTTTAACAATGATTTCCCAGGTGATTCAAACTTATAGTACATTAACATTTGAGAAGCAGTCTTCCAGAATATTAATTTCTATCCCCACTGCAACTGGACTAGGTCAGTATTATATTATCTTAGTTCCCAAGTTAGCAGTTTGGTACTCCATTCTCTAATTCCTTAGGGCATATTGATTGTACCTTTCTCACACTTCTGTTGTAGTGAGTATGCCAGTCAGTTTTACTTTTTTTCTTCTGTGTGTACCTGTATACTTCCTTGAAGGTAGTAATTGTGTCCATTTATGTTTGTATCTTCATGGTCAAACATTATAGGTTCCCAAATATTTGCATAAAGGAACAATCAAAAAAAGGATAATCCTTCTTTGACAAATCACTTTCTATTCTGGATCCTGTAAGGAACTTGCTTATATTTTCACATGGAATTTATTGATTTGCCCATCATTGCTTACATTAAGGTCCTTAGAAATGATGTCTTATTAACTTTACATCTTCAGCATTGTAGTATAGTGAGCCTATAGTGAGTGGTCAGTAAAGTTTGTAGAATGAGTAGTTGAATAAAATGAATGATCAAATTGTGTTTTATTACAGGAGTGGTTTTTAGTCCTATAACACTGATTCCCAGGCCCTGTACTCAGATTCTGAATCTTTTTTTTGAACATTTTTACTTTTTAGCTTTTAATTCAAGTATAATGTACGTATGGAATGTATCTGTATAAACTATTTCATAGT